AGTCTGCGGTGGTGTGAGTGTGAGTGGGTGTGAGCCTGCGGTGGTGTGTGAGTGGGTGTGAGTGGTGGTGTGTGTGGGTGTGAGCCTGCGGTGGTGTGAGTGTGAGTGGGTGTGAGTGGTGGTGTGTGTGGGTGTGAGCCTGCGATGGTGTGAGTGGGTGTGTCTGTGGTGGTGTGAGTCTGTGGTGGTGTGAGTCTGCAGTGGTGTGAGTGTGACTGTGAGTCTGCGGTGGTGTGAGTGTGAGTGGGTGTGAATCTGTGGTGGTGTGTGACTGGGTGTGAGCCTGTGCTGGTGTGAGTGTGTGAGTCTGCAGTGGTGTGTGACTGGGTGTGTCTGTGGTGCTGTGTGAGTGGGTGTGAGCCTGCGGTGATGTGTGACTGGGTGTGAGTCTGCAGTGGTGTGTGAGTGGGTGTGAGTCTCCGGTGGTGTGTGGGTGTGAGCCTGCAGTGGTGTGAGTGTGACTGGGAGCTTGCGGTGGTGTGTGGGTGTGAGTCTGTGGTGGTGTGAGTGTGAGTGGGTGTGAGTCTGCGGTGGTGTGTGACTGGGTGTGAGAGTGTGGTGGTGTGTGTGACTGGGTGTGAGCCTATGGTGGTGTGGGTGTGAGTCTGCGGTGGTGTGTGAGTGGGTGTGAGTGCGGTGGTGTGAGTGTGAGTGGGTGTGAGTCTGCGGTGGTGTGTGACTGGGTGTGAGAGTGTGGTGGTGTGTGTGACTGGGTGTGAGCCTATGGTGGTGTGGGTGTGAGTCTGCAGTGGTGTGTGAGTGGGTGTGAGTCTGCGGTGGTGTGAGAGTGGGTGTGAGCCTGCAGTGGTGTGTGGGTGTAACTGAGTGGGAGCTTGTGGTGGTGTGAGTCGGTGTGAGTCTGCAGTGGTGTGGGTGTGAGTCTGCGGTGGTGTGAGTGTGAGTGGGTGTGAGCCTGCGGTGGTGTGAGTGTGAGTGGGTGTGAGTCTGCTGTGGTGTGAATGTGACTGGGTGTGTCTGTGGTGGTGTGAGTGTGACGGTGTGAGTCTGCGGTGGTGTGTGTGAGTGGGTGTGAGTGCAGTGGTGTGGGTGTGTCTGCGGTGGTGTGAGTGCGAGTCGGTGTGAGTCTGCAGTGGTGTGAGTGTGAGTGGGTGTGAGTCTGCGGTGGTGTGAGTGTGAGTGGGTGTGAGTCTGCGGTGGTGTGTGACTGGGTGTGAGCCTGTGGTGGTGTGAGTGTGACTGGGTGTGAGTCTGCGGTGGTGTGTGGGACCATATGTGTCCTGGGAGGCAGGGGGCCGGTGCTGCTGCTTACAGAGCTACTTGTCACTGACGTCATTGCTATGGAGGCCCCCAGGGCGGAAGGCAGGTGCGCTGTGGGGTCGCCAGCGGGTCGGGTGATGCACAAGCATGGCGCATGGTGACTGGATGACGTGTTGATGAGGATGGGGCCGGGGCTGGGGGCTGCACAGGGGCGCCCACTGCTGCCCCGTCCACACCCAGACAGGGGGAGCAGGCACCGAAGAGAACACTCACCTTGTGATCTGGGGTCCACTGCGCTGTGTGTGCCCACCTCTGCATCTTCGCGGTTCTTCAACAAGAGGCACTGAAAACCAGAGTAGGGCTCAGGGCCGGGGGACTCCCTCCCGGAACCAGGCGCCCCTCCGGGAGGAACTGCGGTTCCACCTGCCAGCCTTCCAGCCAGTGCTTTGTTTCAGCGCCCAGGTCTTCAGGTCTCCCTTCCCCGCCTCTGCCTGCTCCTTGTTTTATGGTGGCTTTTCCTGGTGTCCTGAGAGCCTCGCTGCTCTGGTTTCTCAGAATTCATTACTTAGATGTTTTTTTTGTTTTGTTTTTGTTTTTTTGAGACAGAGTCTCGCTCTGTTGCCCAGGCTGGAGTGCTGTGGCACCATCTCGGCTTGCTGCAAGCTCTGCCTCCCGGGTTCACGCCATTCTCCTGCCTCAGCCTCCCCAGTAGCTGGGACTGCAGGCACCCGCCACCACGCCCAGCTAATTTTTTGTATTTTTAGTAGAGACGGGGTTTCACCGGGTTAGCCAGGATGGTCTCGATCTCCTGACCTCGTGATCCGCCCGTCTTGGCCTCCCAAAGTGTTGGGATTACAGGCGTGAGCCACCGTGCCCGGCCATCCCCCCGTTACTTAGGTTTTATTTCTTTTCTCTCCTGGCCCTGAGTCATTCACCCCTAGTTTTGTTTTCTCTTTTATCCAGGTGTTTCCCTCAGCCCACGCTCACATGCACACGCGTGCCTGTGCCACCCTTTTCTTCACATTACCCAGCCCTGCCCTGAAGCTCTGCCTTTCAGGGGAACTCTGTCCACATCGGCCCCGTGGTGACATCCGTGGAGGACACACGTGGTTGTAGATGCTTGTGTGGTCACCTCCAGCAACTGTGTCTCACATCATGGGGACCACCCACCCTCTCCAAACACAAGTGGGAGGAGAGGACCCACTTTCTGCCCCTTGGGGACAGCAGGTGGCCGGCTGAGTTGGGTGGAGGGTGGCACTGGGGTGGTCTCCTCTGGGGTGTGGGGCTGCAGGGCCCCTCCTGGGACCCGAGTCTTCAGCTGTGTTCTAACATGGAATCCAGGGGGTCATGGATGGGATCATGTTGCTCCAGAAATTCCTTCCTCTGGAGCTTCTTGGCTCTGAAGACGTGGGGGGCCTTCCACAGAAGTGGGGGGTCTCCTGGAAAAGTGGGGGGCCAGGAGCAGTGAGCAGCTGCCATGATACAGCCGCTGCCGGTCACCACCCTGGGCCCCACGCCGCAGGCAGGTGCTCAGCACAGAAGCCGTGTTGGTGCAGGCAGACCGGAAGGCAGTAGCAAGAAGTTAAGCGTGGAGTCTCCCCACGTCCTATGCCCTGCTGTCTTGGCTGCTGCCGAGAGTCTGCGTGTCAGGTGAGGACAGTGCCAGCTGGAACCGCCAGGGACCAGCTCTGGCTGTCAGATGTTTAATTTTAATTTTGCTTCTCTACAAAGACAGCAGCTTTAGGAATCAGGCTTGGGTTGAGAAAGAGAAAGCACCTCCAATCCCCAAAGCTCTCCTTCTGCATCAGAGATGCTGTGAGGATGCGAGGCTGGGGTGGCTCCTCGGAGCCTCCGGAAGGGGCGTCATCAGCCCTGTCCCACCTCCGAGGAGTTGCCTGCTCCCCGGGTGATTTTAGCAGCACATTTTTTTCTTTTCTTTTAGACAGGGTCTCACTCTGTCGCCCAGGCTGCAGTGCAATGGCGCAATCTCAGCTCACTGCAACCTCTGCTGCCCAGGTTCAAGCAATTCTCCTGCTTCAGCCTCCTGAGTAGCTGGGATTACAGGCACCTGCCACTGCGCCCAGCTAGTTTTGTTGTATTTTTAGTAGAGATGGGGTTTCACCATCTTGGACGGGCTGGTCTTGTACTCCTGACCTCGTGATACACCTGTCTCAGCCTCCCAAAGTGCTGGAATTACAGGCGTGAGCCACTACGCCTGTAATTTATTACTTCTTTTATTTTTCTTTTTTCTTTTTTTTCTTTTGAATTTTAAAGATCAGATTTATTTGGAGAAAGCAAAAAACACACAACCCAAAGATGGGATTTTATATCTAAGACAAATCCCAGATTACAATCTACAGATTACAAATCCCAGATTACAATCTACAGATTATGAACCACTTTCATAGAAGATATTTTTGTACACATTTTACATGTATTCAGGAGTGGGACGTACATCCGTCTCTATTTCAGTTTTAACAGAGGGACAAGGTTGGGGAGTGGGATCTTTTTGTTTTTAAGGTAAAACACGACAGAACTCGCACATTCAGGGGCACGGTTCTGTGGCACTGGCTCGTTCACAGTGTCGCCCAGCCACCAGCGTCTAGTTCCAGAGCACTTTCGTCACTCCAGGGGAGACCTACAAGCATTGCCCCTCTTCTGGGAGGCCCTGGGGACAGGGCTGCATGCTCATTCCCGACGCCTGCGACAGTCCTGCCAGCAGAGCTGTGCTCACTCCACTGAGGGGCGGGCGCTGGAGGGACCGAGTGGGCATGACCCCTGCCCCAGTGTTCAGATGGAGCCCCAAGGGGCTGGTAGTCTGGGCATGGGGTGGGGAGGGGAGGCCAGGCTGGGGGAGGCTGTGCAGGGTCCGGGGCCTGGACTGGGGGCTGGAGAGGGGCAGTCGCCAGAGAGAGGATGGTTGGCCAAGCTGAGAGCAGAGGCAGGAAGTCTGTCCAGGAGGCAGCGAGGGGTGAGTGGGGCAGAGACTGCCAAGGGTACTGTGAGGCGGGACCTGGATTCTGTTCCTGATCAGACCGGAGCCAGATGTGGATGAGAGGCCAGGGGGCCTGTAGGTGCGGCCAGTGACCCTGGCCTCTTGCGTTCTGCACCTGAAGCCTCAGGCCTCTGCTGGGCAGTGCCTTCCCCCTGCTCCACCCCTCAGCCCACGATGCCAGAGCCTCCCCTCCTGGCCACCTTCCCTGCCCCATATCAAGTGCCAGACCAGCTGCCTGCACAGACCTCAAAGGCAGGTGCACCCCTCACCCCAGCCAGACCCACAGGCTCCTCCTTGAGCTGCCAGTGTCATGCTGGGGGTCCTGCCGGCTGATCCTCCCACCCCTCAGATGTGGCATCCCCCACGCTGAGGCAGGACACGGAAGCCAGCTCAGGGTTGATTGTTCCAGTGGCAAAGCCATAAGGGATGGAGTCACACAGGCTGGGACGGGAGCCGCGGGGACGCTGGCTGAGAGGAGGAGGGTCCCGGGGGCGGCAGCCGCGCCACGGTCTCCACACGGGCCGGGCACTGGTGCCTGCTGCCCTCGGTCCCCAGAAGCCGGGACTGGAGTGGAGCCTCCTGGAGACCCTCAGGGAGGCGGGTGGGTGCTTCTGGGCATCACGGGGAGGGCACTGAGGGGAAGCGAGCAGGATCTTTCCGGAAGGGGGCTGAGGAGGAGGGGCAGGGCCTGTGATTTCGGAGTGGGGGGCTCTGCAGAGGGGCTCCCGGTAGTGGCTGAGGCTTTGGGGCCCGTCCCCGCCTGGACTCCAGCCGCCCCTCCGCGTGCTCACGCCGGGTCCCCGGGACTCTCGAGCGCAGGTCCGGCCGGGGCCGCCGCCACCAGCACGAGGCTCTCAGTGGGCTGCGGGCTGCAGGAAGACAGGGAGCGGCCGGAGCCGCGCTGGAAGCGGGCGCGGGGCTGCAGGGAGGGAACGGGCCCCCGGACTCCGCCGCTGCCCGGGCTGCGCACGCGGCCGCGTAGGTGGTCGCGGTAGTTCCTGGTGAGCAGCGTGTAGAGGAAGGGGTTGGCGCAGCTGTTGCCGTAGGTGAGGCAGGTGGTCAGGTAGTTCACGATGCGCGCTGTCCGCGGCGCCAGCGGGGCCTCTTGGTACTGGGCGAGCAGCTGCCACAGCCAGAAGGGCAGGAAGCAGGCCCAGAAGAGCAGCACGATGCCCAGCACCAGGCGCAGCGCGCGCGCCCCGGGCCGCCGGGCCCGCTTGAAGGAGGCGCGCTGCGAGCGGCGGTAGGCGCGGGCCAGACGCGCGTAGAGTAGCCCGATGAGCAGCCCGGGCCCCGCGATGCTGGTGGCGAAGAGCAGCGTCAGGTAGGCGCGGTGGGCGCGCGGGCCCCAGGCGGGCAGGCACAGGCTCTTGGGGCCCCGGCGCACCAACCGCATGGCCAGCATCACGGGCAGCGTCAGCAGCAGCGCCAGCAGCCAGGTGCCCAGCGCCAGCAGCTTGCGGTAGCCCTTGGGGCGCTGCACGGTGTCCAGCGGCCGCAGCACCGCGGCGTAGCGCTCGCTGCTCATGACGGTCAGCGTGAAGATGCTGGCGTGCATGGTCAGGAAGTCCAGGCTGAAGAGCACGCGGCAGCCCACATCCCCGAAGTGCCACTCCTTGGTGATGTAGGTGGCCACGATGAAGGGGATGCTGAGCAGGTACAGCAGGTCAGCCAGCGCCAGGTTGACCACGTAGATGTACATGGAGGCCACGGCGCGCAGGGAGCGGCAGGTGACCACCAGCGTGTAGGCGTTGCCCACCACGCCCACCACGCCCATGGCTGACAGCAGAGTCCCAATGGCACCCGTGGCCACCAGGTCCTCCAGGGAGCTGGGCTCTGTCGGGCTGGCCCAGGAGCTGTTGAGGGTTGCGTTGGGGCTGCCAGGTGGCTCCGGCACAGAGCTGCCGGTGGCCGCCAGTCCAGGGAAGCTGCTCGGGGACTCGGGGGTCAGCGCCATCTCTGACCCCTCAGGATTGGCTCAGGGCTGGGTGGTCACTCCCTGAGATGGGGCGCGGGCACCTGTGGGCAACCAGCTCAGCCTGTGGGGAAAGAAGCCTGTTAAAGATGCAAGTCAGGCAACCATTCTGCTCCCAGGAGGCCATTGTGACGGCCGTTCCCACAGAGTCACGTGGGCCCCCCACTGCCCTCCGGCTCCTGGGGACTCTCTGGAAGTCACCAGCTCTGCAGGAGGACTCGAGTGCCACCAGATGAGCCACCCAACCTCCCTCCCCCACCCCCACATGCCCCAGCAGGACCCCTGCCCCCGCCTCACTGTAGGTCCCGTGGCCTCTGGGATGGACTGGGCTTTTCTGAAAGCTGGAACACAGGAGGGCAGCCCCTGGGGCAGAGGTTGGCAGTGGACAGAGCTGGGAGTCCTGGGCTCTGCCTGCCCGCCCAGTGCACCCCCCAGGCCTCATTTTCTTATCTGTGCACGGGTGGGGCCCACTTACCCCAGAGTCCTTTCTCGTTTTTTATTTCACTTGTACATTTTTAAAAAGTTTTCTTCAGATTGCAAAACTAGTAGCTACTGACTTTAAAAGTCCAAATAGAAAAACATGTAAAGTAAGGAGAGGGAGGGCTCTGCAATCTCCATTTCTCATACAGGGAAATGAATTCGAGATGGATTGCAGGCCTAAGTGTGAAAGGTTAAATCAATCAGTCAAGGTTCTGGAAGAAAACAGGAATACTGGCATGACCTTGGATGGGAAAAGATTTCTTAAAAATGAACAAAAAATACTTGCAATAAAAGATTGAGCAAATGGGTTTCATTAAAATTAAGAACTTTACCAAGAAAGCGAAATCATAAGTCACAGGCTAGGAGATCATCAGAAAACATATATCAGGCAGGTTGCAGTGGCTCACACCTGTAATTCCAGCACTTTGGGAGGCCAAAGCAAGTGGATCACCTGAGGTCAGGAGTTCAAAGCCAGCTTGGCCAACATCTCAAAACTCCATCTCTACTGAAAATATAAAAATTAGTTGGCATGGTGGCACATGCCTGTAATCCCAGCTACTCGGGAGGCTGAGGCAGGAGAATTGTTTGAACTCGAGAGGTGAAGGTTGCAGTGAGCCAAGATTGAGATTGCGCCACTGCACTCCAGACTGGGCAACAAAGCGAGACTTCGTCTCAGAAAAAAAGAAAGAAAGAAAGAAAGAAAGAACATAGACAAAAAGCTGGTAAGAAAAATATAGAGAAGAACTGCAAATTAGTAAGGAAAAGACAACCCATTTGAAAAAAAGAGACCAAAACCGTGACTGGGGACTCCCTGAAAAGGACACCCACGCGGCCAACAAGCAGGGAAATGCCAGTCATGGCCACAGAAGCCCCTGCGTGATGACAACGACGAAGGTGTGAAAAGGCAGACATCGTTGTCAACAGGCATGGGGGCTGCAGAGGAGCTGGCCCCACCGTTTGCTGTTGCTGGGAACCTGGACTGCGCTGCCACTTTGGAAAACCATTGGCAAGACTTGCAGAGTTGACCGCCTAGACCTTCTCACCCGGCAATTCCACTTTTAGGTTTGTACCTTAGATAAAGGACTGCCAATGTCCAGAAAATGTCAAGTGTGCGAAAGTTCACGGCAGCTTGACTCCTAAGAAGCCGGAAACAGCTGGAATGTCCCCAGTGGAGGGGGCGAGCAAACTGTGACATGAAGCCAGTGAAGGAGTCACCGCTGAGGTCAGCAGCCTGGACGAAGCTCGCAGAGCTGTGGGGCAGAAGAAACACAGGAGGCTGCCTGATTCCACGAGCCACGCTGAATTTAGGCCGAACACTCATGGCCGCACAGGGAGCAGTCTTGGCTGGGATGGGGCGGCATCAACAGGTGGGAGCGCTGGGGGCCTTCCAGGGCCTGGAAATGTGCCCTGCCTCGCTTTCCCACTAGGCTGGGTAGCTCCCCGCCCAGCTCCATCTGTCCAGAGGACCCTCAACCCGTTGCTGCCCCCACCCGGGGCGTTTCCAGAGCCCTCACCCAGGGGATGGCCCAGAAGCCCGGGGGGCACCGGGCTCCCCAGTTGTGCACGAGCCCGAGTCACGGGTAGGGGGACAGTGGACGCCGGGCCGTGCTCCAGGGTCACCAGGAGGGAAGGGGAGGGGCCCAAAGTTCCCTGGCTCGGGAGAAGCCGCCTCGCTGGACCCCGCTCCCAGCGCCCAGGGTGGGGTCCCACCGCGAAGCCCCGGCCCAGCCCCGCGGAGGGCCCCGAAGGGCACAGGCCCCGCAGTCCCCGCGCTCCCAGGCACCCACGGAGGACCCACCTGCCTCCGGTCACGGAGCCGCCAGACCTGCCCGCCGAGCCTGGGGTCGCGGGTCGGGGCGGCCGCGGGGAGCTTTCAGAGGCGCGCTCCCCTGTCCCGGAGCAGAGGGGGCGCGAGGGGCTCCGCGGTGGCCTCGGCTCCCAGAGCGCACGGCAGGGGCGCCCGCCAGTCCCGCCACCAAAGCCGCGCCCGGAGCCCCGCGCCGGGTCCCTGCGCCGCCGCCACCTGCCCGCCGCCAGCTGGGAATGCGCCGCGGCCCCGCGCCAGCGCCCGGTATTAAAATAGCCCCAGCGGGCAGCAGGCGCAGGGAGGACGGCGCGGGGGCCTGGGGGGCGGCGCTGCCCGCGCGGGGCCGGGAAGACGCGGGGGGCGCGGGGAGGACGGCGCGGGGGCCCGGGGGGCGGCGCTGCCAGCGCGGGGCCGGGAAGACGCGGGGGGCGCGGGGCCGCAGCCTGGTCGGCGAAGGGTCCCAGGCGGGTCTCACGTCCGCGGAGCGAAGCTGCCTCCAGCCCCGCTGCCCCGAGGCCGGCCCCGCAGCCCCTCTTGGGTTCTCCGCCTCCAGCCTTCGCCCCTGCGCCCCTCACGCCCGTGTTTTCAGGGCACGGAGCCTGGAATTCTCCGTGTCCGCCAAGCCCTGCACCCGCCCGCGCGCAGGTTGGGGGGCGGGAGCACCCCTACACCCCGAGAGGGTCATAGAAAGGAGGTAGGGGAGGGATGGAGTCACCCACGCAGAGGGGGACGGGCTCTCTGGGGGCCTCGACGACCCCCGCCCCCATTGCGGGTCTCCCACAGATGCTCTTAGAAGCCCACGCAGCCTCTCCAGGCCCCGGCAGGGACTCGTGGCGGCCAAATCCACGGAAGTGACACTGGGGGCTGCAGGGCCCCGCAGGGTAGGAGGAAGGACCCCACGGCCTCACCCTTGAGCCCCTGAGCTGGGTGCTGGCCCCCACTCGGTTTCACTCGCTGCCAGGAGGTAGGATGCGGCCGTCACTCATGCTGGACCACTGAAAGAAAGACACAGAACATCGATAAAATTAGAGGAGACGCTGGAGGGCTGTGAACACAGGGGGTCTAAGGGACCCCCAGCGAGGAGCTGGCCTCGCCCACTCCACTCCGCCCAGGCTCATCTGCCGCCTCAGGCCGTGGACCGGCCCCTACAGCTGAAGCGGTTCTGCGTGGGGAGAGGAGGTGGCCAAGTGCGAGTGGCAGAGAGGCTCCTGCAATGAGCTGGATCCGGGGGAGCCCCAGATGCCCACCAGTCCCCTCCGTGGGCCGTTTGCCACGTGCTGGGGAGGCCAGGCTGGGCTGGAGAGGGCGGGAAAAGTCCCTCTGGTCTCCGAGGTCCGCTGCGCAGAGCGAGGGTCCAGCAGTAGGACAGTTCGTTCTCTGTGGGCTGAAAACAGCCGAACGGAAACCAACGGCAGCTGCGGCTTCTGACCCGACAGGGGAGCAGCTCATCCTGCCTGTGCGCCCGATAGGAGATGGAAGGTTGCCTCCGACCTGACGGTTCTGTGAGAGCTGATTACTAAGCTGGGGTCTAGGGGCTGGGGCTGGGGAAAAGCACTCAGGACCCAGAATGCCTGCTCCAAGAATTAAATTTCCCACAAGCCAGCTGCCGAAATGACCTGCTGTCACCTCAGCCAGTTCACCGAGTAGCTGCTGAAATGACCTGCCCTGACTCTAACCCCGGTTTTTTGTTTTATGTTTTTTTTTGTTGTTGTTGTTTTCTTAGATGGATTCTCGCTCTTTCACCCAGGCTGGAGTCGCAGTGGTGTGATCTCGGCTCACTGCAACCTCCACCTCCCAGGTTCAAGCGATTCTCCTGCCTCAGCCTCCCGAGCAGCTGGGATTACAGTCACCCGCCACCACACCCAGCTAATTTTTGTATTTTTAGTAGAGATGGAGTTTCATCTTGTTGGCCAGGCTGGTCTCAAACTCCTGAGCTCAGGTGATCTGCCCGCCTCAGCCTCCCAAAGTGCTAGGATTACAGGCGTGAGCCACTGCGCCTGGCCTCCAATGCTGGTTTTACCACCGAGGCCACTCGCCAGAGTTTGCCAGTTCCCCAGAACTACCAGGGCCAATGGGCTTCCTTTCAAAGCAATAGAAAACATTTCTCTTTCCAATAGAATTCCAATTTTCTTTTGTTCTTGAACATACAGAATTGAAATTCTTCCTAAAATTGAACATTAAAGATTTGTATATTTTATTTTGCCTTTGACAGTTGCTATGTACAAAATGCTTCAGCAAGGAAATAATAATCTGATTATTATTTATATCACATCTCATGTCATCCATAATTGATAGGGAAAAATAGCCAGCCGGGCGCGGTGGCTCAAGCCTGTAATCCCAGCACTTTGGGAGGCCGAGATGGGCGGATCATGAGGTCAGGAGATCAAGACCATCCTGGCTAACATGGTGAAACCCCGTCTCTACTAAAAAATACAAAAAACTAGCCGGGCGAGGTGGCGGGCACCTGTAGTCCCAGCTACTCGGGAGGCTGAGGCAGGAGAATGGCGTAAACCCAGGAGGCGGAGCTTGCAGTGAGCTGAGATCCAGCCGCTGCACTCCAGCCCGGGCGACAGAGCAAGACTCCGTGTCAAAAAAAAAGAAAAAAAAAGAAAAAGAAAAATAACCAATAGAAGCAGGTCCGTATGTGACACAAGTATTGAAATTAGCAGACCAGGAGTTTCTATTTTACAAAAAC